GTGCATTACGCGCTCGACGGCGGCCGAAATGTGTGTCGAATTTCCGACGGCGTTTCGCGACCTTCGAAAGAATTTCTTTACGAGACAATTCGAAGGTCTACACGTCGTCGTCGGAGCTCGTTCAAGGAAAACGACTTCTGTATTCGAATAAATAAAGTAAGGTATTAGACACTCCCGTCGCATAAACATCAACGAAAAGCTGCAACGTCGGAATCGATTGTGCAGCTATCGTTAGATAAAGCGATTCTACCGGTGAGCAACGATGCGTCAGCGGGATCGATGTATCGATCGCTGGGGAATGCTCGCGTACGTGCAGTCCTTACGCGGGTTCGCAACCGCGCCAGGAACTCGAAGACGAAATCCGCCGGTGAACCTCGAAACGGCCGGCGGCGGCGATCGGGCGCGGAGTGTGCGGGGATCTTGCGGGCGCCACGGTCGAAGTACACGGCGGCGGTTCGACGAAGATAAACGCCGCGCGGGCCAAGCGGCCGTCAAACGGCGGAACCGAGAAACTCTCAGCGACGGCGACGGGAACGGCGAGCAGGAGCGAGTAGGAGGTGAGAGAGATGGGTGGACAAAGTGGAGCCAGGGAGAGGAAGAGGGAAAGAGAGAGAGAGAGAGTAGTTTGCAGGAAGGACACACGAGGGTGGTTGCGTATTCACGAGGGTGCGGAGGGTGGGCGCAGAGGGGACGAGGAAGGACCGATGGGATGAGGCATGTGCACGGAGGTGCAGGTGCATAGAGGAGAGGATCCGCGTACGGGCGGGTGAGTTGTGCGTACCAATCGGCGGGTGCAGCGTACGTCCGCAGGCACGCAGGAGGAGGACGCGAAAACCGGGCACAGCCCCAGGAGCGCGGAGGAGGTTTCCACCATACGGGACAAAACCGCCCCACGCCGGATCCAGGAAACCGGCGCGCGTCTGGTTGCGCTGAGCGACGGGTGCAACTATCGGGTGGCGCGCGCGAAAAGGGGGTTCAACTCGACTCGACTCGGTGGTGTCGAGAGGGCGACGGAAGACAGAAAGGGTAGAGAGGGAAAATACAGAGCGAGAGGGAGAGGGATCGCGGGAGTGGCGAGGTGGCGTTCGGGGGCGAGCGGCAAAGGGGGTAGGGGGTTTACGAGCGAAGGTAGCGTGGAAGGGAAGGTTGAAGAGCGGCCGAGGGTGTTGGTGGTGGCGGCGGCAGCGGCGGCGGCGGCGGCGGCGGCGGTGGCACTAGTCTTCGGGTGGTGCCGGCAGTGGAGGTAGAACGGAGGGAAGGCGGCGGTGACGGCGACGAACATAAAATCCCTCGCACATGCCTGGTGCATTCATTACGGGGGGATGTGCCCGTGCAGCGTACTTGTCGACCTGCATCCACGGCCACCCTCTCTCTCGTCCTCTCGGTGCCACCCCTGGCTTCAGTCGCGCTCCGCTGCCAACTTGGTGCACACGTCATTCCGTTGGTCCTCCCCGGCGGGTTCGCTCGTACTGTTTGCTCGGCTGCATCGTTGACCGTCCCGTCGTTTGAGATTTACATCGTCGCGCGCGCGCCAGCCACCCTCCCGCGAAACCCGTGTGGTTTGTAATATCGCGCGCGTGCAAAAACACACTTTACGTTACACGACGTTATGTTACGCATCGTCCTTGAATTCGACTGAGATCGCGGAAGTTGTACGTGCGGGAAATGATCGAGACGAGCTGAGAGAAACTCGACGTGCAACGAGAAGAGCGGTATATTGCGCGATCATCAAATACCGAAATTACGAGTGCAAGTTTCTTTTCTCTGTAAAACTGCATATATAATTCACACAAAGTGCGCGAAAATTGAACAAAACTTCGGAGATCTTTACGGCGAGAGCGAAGTGGCCCGCGGCCACTTCCGGAAGAGGAACTTCGTGTCGTCCTAGCGGAAGATCGTCGGTGGAAGATCGTCATCCAGGTGCATCTTCTTCAGCGATAACCAGCGTCCGAGGAAGATCACGACGATTCTACGCGCCGTTCGGAGGCTTCGGGAAGCCGACGGGATTTTACGTTCATGAATTCAAGTAAATCAGGTAAAACGATGCGCCGAAGAACCCGTCAGCGACGTCGATCCGCAAAGATATACGGTACGTCGCTTCGGCGACCGCGATGATCTTTTGCTGTGGCGGGACGGCGTAGCCATCGGCGAAAGATGGTCGCGATCGCCGACGCGCTGTCTGCCGCGACAGATCGGGAAAAGGGCGGGAACGCCGGCGCTAATCCGCGGGGAAGAAATGGGTGGGAGGGGGAGGATTTATCGATCGGCCGATCGACGGCGTTCGCGTTTCGGCCAACAGAATTCTCCCTCTGCGACACAAAATTGTCGTCCTGTCGCTCGCTCGCGCGGACAGAAAAACAAACGACAGGACGACAGCTACGTGCGTCACCACGACGACGCTGCGTCACGTTCGCTGCTTCGCCCGGAAATCGCTCGCTGCAACGAGAAAGTGCGCCGTTGAGTCGCGCTTGTGTCTCGTTTGCTCTTCGTCGTCAGAAGACGTTGCGAACATCCATTCGTACGAGCGAAAAGCGCCGCGCGCCGTGTAAATAAACATAATCGATCGCGAGGGAAAAGGAATCGCCCGAGGAAGGAAATTTGATATACGATAAAATAATTGCGCGTCGCGCTGGAGTAAAGAGAGAGAGAGAGAGAGAGAGAGAGAAGTAACAGGGAATCAGAAATGAAGAAAAAGCGCGGGCGTGAAGTTTGCGTCAGCGGAACGTTGATGGATTGGGCGAGCAAAATTATTGAATATTAATGTCGCAAATCGATATATAGCGCACGCGAAGTGTGCTTATCGGCTCGTTTGAACGCGTCAAAGCGCGGGCACGCTCTTTAGCACGAGGGGAAAAAAATGCCTTTGTGAAGGAGGATTCGAGCGCGCGCTCGGGAGGTCGTCCGGAGGTTGAGTTACGAGAGCTGCGTGGACAGGTGCGGGAGGAACGCTGTTATAAACGAAAAAGGCGGGCGAGGATTCGAATTTCCATACTTTCGCTATTCGTTTCCGCGGCTATTATTGCCGCGGCTTGTACCAGAAACGATACAGCGCGGCGCGTTTCCGATGAAATATACGCTGCACTTGCGAGAGGAACGTGTTTCACAAGACGGTTCTTATCTCGCATTTCCCGTTTCTCATTCGTAATGTACGACAAAGTGTGATATTGCATATTCCACATTTTGTGCGAAAAAAATATCACCCTCTGTTATCGGAAATTCACACAATTTCGTGTAAATTTGCACACGTAACAAATATGTAAATTGACGGGATTTTGTACATTTTCGTTGATAATCGCGCAATATTCGAATTTATTCTTTATGCAAATTATCAGTTTTTTGTGTAAATTTGCACATTTTTTTAATAACATTTTTTATAGCGACGGGTCAACGTTTCGAATATAAATTTTCCACATTCTTCTCGCACATACAAAAAGCAGCATTTTCCGATATTTTATCAAAATAGCATTCAAGCTAGAAAAACAAATTGCAAATAAATTGCGACATTTCGGTCGTCGTGACTGACATCGGTAATTCGCGCGAGTTCGAAAAATCGTGAGAATAACACACAGTTTGGCGATCAGCAGTTCGATCGATTTGTACATAAAAAAAAGTGCGATGTTTCTAATAATAACAACATTCAAAGACGAGAGGTCAGCGAAATGACGAAACAACCTCGCCGTATCATATCTTTCCGCGAAAATGTTAATTGCGATCACGGTAGTTAGTTCTATTTGAACAAGAATAATTAATACCCGCGCTCTTTGACTGCAAAGTACAATATTTGACGATAGCTCCGCGGGGAAATATTGCCATCGATCTCTCGCAATTAATTTCTGCGCGATTATGTCAGCGGTAGTTGCGCGTTTCACGGTGTGTTAATTACAGATGCGGCGGCTCATTAGGAATGCTAACCGACGAATTTCAGCCTCGTATTTCAGCCTTTTTCGCACCTCGCGCCGTGTTCTTTCGTGTATACACGTGGACGTCGAGGTGCTCTCTCTCTCTCTCTGTTTCACTCTTTTTCCCGCCTCTCTCCCTCTTGTCGAGCTTAATTTTTAATCCACCGCATAGCGCGCCGTAGTAAAATAATCCGTCGCTTATTATGCAAATTTAATCGCGCGTTTATCGCAAGGCGCGCTAATCGCGGATAACTTCCCGCTTAACTTCACTATCGCGTGCGAGCGGCAATTGTTCCTTTTCTCTTTTTTTTTCCTTTTTTTTTTATTTCCGCCACAACAAAGAACATCCGCCCTTTGTTTCAACCCGCACGGCGACGGTCTCTCTCTCTTTCTCTCTCTCTCTCGTTCTGTACTTTAATCTTCAACTCGTCGACGACCATTATGTTCTCCGTCGTCGCGCGATCGTCGTCGTCGTAGACGTCGTCGCGGGGAGTGTCTTTTAAGTTCGGGCACCGATTCAAGTCGCGGTTGCCGTTGCCAACCAACGGCAGACAAACATCCATTCAATTCGCCGAAAAGAAGACGCCTCGGCTGACTTTTTTTTTCACGTCTTACGGGGGAAGAGCAAGGGAAACTCCGCGATCGAGCGAAAAAGAACTTGCGGGGCGCGAAAGGGAGTAAAACAATCGGCGACCTTTCCTCGCGATCGAGAACGCTTTTTCGCGCTGAATCCGTGTGACGAATTAACAAGTGACGAGGATGGTCGGAAAATGACTGATAGTAATTTCTGGGTTGTATTAGAAAGGAAAACGAGCACATCTCGCGCGGAGTCGAGTTCGAAGTGGTTCCGGGGGAGAAACTCCCGGGTGAGCTTCTAGTTCTCCGAAGTTGTCGGACTCCCGTCACTTTCACGAGGGCCGTTACTCGCAGCGTCTCAAAGCGTTTCCATTATTCGGAACGCTACTCGGTCTCTCGAGTCATTTGCGGGATGTTTCGAGAGCTCCGCGCTTTCGTGTAACTTGCTCGCGCTTTCTCGCGAGCGTAGTACATGTACACACACACACACACACACACACACACACACACACACACACACACACACACACACACACACACGTCGCGAAGTGGAATTTGGCGCAGCGTCGTTAATGAAAATGTGTGTCGATTTGCGTGTATGTAGCGTTCACGAGAAAAGGGTTGTGCTACACGTTCGAAGAAAATGCGCTTTAAGTGCTCTTCGCCCTACATCGTCGTCCCGCGCGATTGCTCTGCGAATTGCGTCGTCGTCAGGAAGATGCGCGCACGAACTCATAGACGCGTCCTTTTGTCGACGCGGACGTTCTATTCCGGTCGCTTCCTCCGGCCGCGTTATCGCTCGTGTTTGCGTCGCGGACACGAACTTTTAATTCCCGATCGATCCGCTGCGCCCCCGCCGAGGGGGAATCACGGCTGAAAGAGAGGCGCGCGAGAGGCGCGGGAGACTCTTCAGCGTTTACGACGATGAAGACACAAAGAGAAAGAAAAAAAAAAAAAAAAAAGAAAGCCAAGAATCGGGAGAGAGCTTCTATTTTTCTATGTTCCGAAAGCGGACGAAGTATATGTATATTTTTTCACGCCTGTACTTTGCTCAATAGAAAATTCCGACCGAGATCTTTCGATAAATTTTGTTACGACTTTGTTGCGCGATAAATATCAAACTATGACTAGTTTAACTTGAAAGTATTAAAAAAAAAAAAAAAAAAAAAAAAATTGATTAGAGAAATTGATGGTGCGCGCCAAGAAAGACCAAGTTCTCAGCGAGACGCCTACCAATAGATCAAAGAAAATAAACAATATATTTATAGCTACGCAAAACGGGAGTAACATATTGATTACCTACGGTCGGAAAGGTAATAATCGGTTCGAATATAGAGTTAGCTAGGATAGAGTCGGCCTAGAGACTTAGGATTTGCGGGTGCGCGCGCAATAAACCAAAAAACTACGTTTCGCCGTTGATTCATTCGTCGATGGAAGAGATCGCGAAAAGGCGCGAGGGCGCGCCTGCTGCGCGTCGAAGATCTACGCGCTGAAGATCCATCACGTGGTCTCATCCGGAAGATGAGGCCCGCCCACACACAGCCTCGCGTTGCTGCGGCGCATCGATCGCTAAAATGCACTTCGACGTGCTGCGACGACGAGTCGGACACACTTCCGGCCGTCGACAAAAGGCCAAGGTCGCCTAACGGCGCGTGCATTCACGGCAATGCCCCGGCCGCTATCTCTCTCGCCGGCGAATAGGACGCAGACAGGTCTGTTTCCAAAAATAGAAAAGAGAAACGATTGCCTCTTCCAGCGTGACTTTCTCTCTCTGGAAAATAATTGTCTTTTGCACGAGAATGCCGTTTCGAACGAATAATAAATGTGCTTCTTTTTTTTTTTTTTTAGAGAATGTTATTGCACAGGTCACGTATATTCAGAAATTTTATCAGACGTAATTAAGAAAACTAAGAGGAGAAAAGTTTTTTTGTTTCCGAGAAGATTCTCGATGAATGTGTGCCACGTTGCGATTCGCAAGGTTTTTGCTGTTAGCCATCTGCCAATCTGCCAACTCGCGCTGATGCTCAAGATCCAGCGCGAATTGTAACGGTTTCTTAAATATTAACATCGCCTCGGCCGATTGCTTCGTCGGGTCGGTGATTCCGCTTGTAATAAAAAAAAAAAAGCATATGACAGAATACCGATTACATAACTTTGTTATAACTTGCACGTTAATAACGTACCGGAGAAAGAGAAAAGTTTTCTTTTTCTCCGGCCGCGACATCCTCGGACGTGTTTGAATAGACGCGACGTGTAATTAAAGTTTCTTGTAATTGGATTCGTAACTGTAGAAAAAAAAAAAATTCGCTTGTGTGTGAACAAGCGCGCGCTATGGATTCACACAATTGACTCACATGTGTCGAGCGCTTCGTCTTCTTCGAGGAGTTATTAAACGTTAATATCGTTCCGGTCGTATCTCTTGAGCCAAACGGGAGGAGTAAACAAACGGGAGGGAGAAGAGATGCGCACGCAGCTTTCATATTCCACAATTAATGTCTCATTTAAGGGAAAACGAGGAATATTGCGACACGGAAGTAGGAACAATTAGGACATGTCCGTGATTGCGAAATGAATTCCGTTTCTGGCAAAGTTCTGGGATTTCTGAGCGCGGTATTTAGGAAACAGAGTTGTGTGAAATGCACGATCGAGCACTTTTTTTTTTCTTCTCGTCATTTGGCGCGACCGTTTCTCGCCGATTTTATCTCGAAGATTTTCTCGAACGATGTACTGCTACTTTATTAGAAAAAAAAAAATGACGATTATAAAGGCGCGAAAAGACGGAATTTTTTATTTAATTTTTATCGCATTGAGGATTTTTTTAAAAAATATGCGCGCGGATTTATGTTACGTGCTCGCGAATCGGCTTCCGCTAACGAAAGCGGATTAAATGTGTTAATTGTTCAACGCTTGTAAACTCATGTTGGGGAAACACACACCCGGGAATAGAGATTTAACAATTTTCCCCGATACGCCTATTGATTTGGCACGAATAACGCTATTACCGTTCCACAAAGAACGAAGAGAGCTCAAATTAATATCAGAAATTCAGCGATTTGCGCGAAATTACCGTTTATTGCGGTTAAATGAAGCCAAAGGGTTTCCGGACGAGAGTAGTGGCGATTTTCCACACAATGGAATTTCGCGTGGAAAACCACGCAAAGTTCTGCAGAATTTTTCTTTCAACATGTCGGTGGTTCGTTAATGAGGTTGGGTTTTGTTTTGTTTTTATTTTTTACGATAATTGCAGTGAGCATCGAGGTAAAAAAAAGAAACGGAGAGAAAAACGTAAGGTCGAAACGCGCGCGCGCGTGCAATTTTATTTTATTTTTTTTTTTTTTTTGTGCTGCAAAAACGCGTTTTAAACCGAATGGATGAAAACCGCGTGAGAACATCTTTTGCGAAACGGCGTGCTGTGCGTCTCGACGACCAGTATTTACGTTCCGTCTCTTTTCCTCAAAAAGTCTAGCGAATTTTTTTATTTCCCGCACTTTAATCAACGGCGATTTTTTTTTCTTGTCTTCTTTTTCGGCGTTATGTAAAAAAATATATTCTTTTTGTGTTCAAAGTGCACACGTGTATATATATATATATATAATTGAAGAGACATAAAGCAAGATTTGTTTGTGAAAGACTTGAGAACACGCGTTTCGTTTCTCGGATAATTACCAAAAAGAGGGATGAAAAGAAACCGAAACGTATAACAGAGACGCGCGTTCTCCAACTTTTTGCCGCAAGCTTGGCGCTGTAATTAACGTATGCATTAAATTGAATGCCAGACCGCGGCGGGAGAATAAGTAAATTGAGTTACTATATTAAGGAATTGCTATATTCCCGAGGTTCGCGCGCGCGAACTGCTCAAATGTAGAAACCGCCGCATCAACTCTGTTTCTGAATACTGTAATCACTTGATGCGCTTGGGTTTGTATGTGGTTTACTGAAATCAGAGCGCGCACGAGAAAGTGTAATTTTACTGGTGCAGTTTGCGATTAACCGAAAAAAAAAAATTTTACATTTTCGCGGTCCAAATTTGACGAAAACATTGACGCCGTTCACCGGCCCTTTACCGACCCTTTGTTTGTTGATCTGTTATCGTTTGTTGATAACAAAAATAAACCTTTTTTTGCGCAAAAACAAATTTCGATCGACGTTTCAACAAATTTCTGATCGATCAGTACGTGCATCAGCGGGCAAATGCAATTTAATATTGGTCATTAAGATTAATAGCGTTTTAAATTCAAATGTGTTTCTCGAAGAGAGAAGATAGCGCTCGACAAACAAGAGACGAAATAAAAACGAGTACTTACAGTTAAAAAAATGTTCCACATGTGCGAAAGTAGATTTGAAATTTTTCCGTATAAATCCGCGCGACAATTAACGCGCGACAACAATTTCTCACGTTAATTGTTTTCCGGTTTGAGCGCGCTTGAGTATTGATCGGTGTAGCGAGAGCCATGGACAACACATTACGATGTAACGCGCGATGTAACTCGACGAATTGGCGCGTGGTGCGCTATCGCACGGCTGACGTGCGAAGGTTAAAGTCGGCATTGCAGATCGACGCGTGTCGCGCAATAAAATCTCGCGAGAATGACATTAGCGGACTGATAATATTAATTCCGCGTGAATATGTTCCCGTAAACGAGGCCTGGTGAGGTATCGGTTGTGTCGCGCACACGTCGAAGCGTCTCGTACACGAGTACGCGGAGCACGTGGCCGAAAGCGCGTTTGAATTCGGGCGCCCTTCGCGCCATTCCCCGGCAGATGCACGAAGGTCAGTATTTTAAAAATAAGGCCGCAGGCATTGGTAGATTGGTATGGCAGTGGCTGTTAAGGGACGGGTGGCGTTGTAATGGCAAAAAGCTTGCGAGAGGTGAGTAATCCGTAGGTGTGCGTTTGTGGCGAAAATATAATTTGCAGTGCGTGTTTGTGCGGCGCGTTGGCACACGGCGCGGATCATAAGCGACGCGAACGAGGTATCACGCGTAACTGTTAGCGAAGTGGTTAGAAATCGGACATCGGACGAAATCGAGTTTCGCGAAGAAGGCTAGATGAGCACGGCCGACAATGGCGCCCAAGCATCGCGAATATTGACGTTTCCGAAAACATTTATCTCCGAGTATACATCATCGGATCGCGATCGCGTGTGTACGCGCGGACGGGAACACAGACGAGGGGGGCCACATGTTATATTGCGTCGCGATTAGTGAAACGAAAACGTCGCGACGGCGCGTGTCATATCCCATCGCCTAGAAATCCGGGCGCGCGCTAGTTCGATCGGGTGCGCAGGTTAAAAAATGTTGTCTGCACGTATAGTAGCGCCGCCTGAACCCTGTAGGGTTTTACAGTTAGACTGCAATGTGGCACATTTGCAGTAGAGCGTTGGACCTGTACGGAGATAGATCGCGACTTGATCAATCAACAGATATATAGGCAAAACCAGGATAGAGGCGATTGTGCGCAGAGCAAGTTTGTGAGTCAGGCTAGTTTAGGGTTAGGAAAATGGTTAGAGGGAGAAGGGTTATGCCAAACAGTTAGTGGCCTTTGGTAGGAGTACAGCTGATTTTTTGTACACAGTTTGAGGGGACCTAGTTTGGTTGTAGGGTCAGGATTGGAGATAGACAAGATGGACCAGCAGTACTGTCTACGTTGGAACAACCATCCATCCAACCTTACTGATGTTTTGAGCTCACTGCTTGCAAGAGAAGCACTATGCGATGTTACTTTGGCCTGTGTCGGAGACACCTTCAAGGCGCATCAGACTATACTCTCGGCTTGCAGTCCTTATTTCGAGCATATTTTCCTACAAAACACCCATCCTCATCCAATCATATTCCTAAAGGATGTCAATGACGCTGAGATGCAGGCGCTGCTGCATTTCATGTATAAAGGCGAAGTCAATGTCAGTCAGCACTTACTCCCGATGTTCCTCAAAACTGCTGAGGCGCTGCAAATCAGGGGCCTCACTGATAATAACACTGTAAATCACAAGACACAGGAAAAAAGTCCATCACCAGAGCCAGAAATGCAAACTGGAATCAGGGATTCGCCTAATCTCCAATCACAATCTGAGAAAAAGAAGCGTAGACGTTCAGGCAGCTATGATGTTCCTCTTTCTACTCCATCTAATGAAAGATACTTATCCCCTCCCCAGGTATGTGTAAATATTTGTTTTCTTTGGTCTTTTTTTAATCATACTATATACAGTAGGCGACATCTTGCTATCCATTTTTTTTAATTCCTGTATACACAGACACATATATATATGTATGTATATATACCATATGTGACATTTTAAAATGTGTAACATATTTACTGTTATAATATTGTTTTTATCAGAAGAAAACTACTGTACCAAATGTATATATATGATACAGTGAACTTGTTAAGGATATAATAAAAAGATCAAATATAGGGTATTTAAAATGTTAGTTGATACAATGTAAACATAAGTTTAATTTTATCTCACTGGTCTTTTTATGTAACTATATCATATTTATAACAATATATAGACAATATGTTCCCCAGTTTGATACGCATGAACTTTATGAAAGGAATGTATTTATATTTTTTACTATAAACAAAATATAATAAAACAAAATATAAACAATATATATAAACAATTTATAATATATTTACTTAAATATAAGAATTCATAAGATGTTCAAAACACTTTTGTGTGTGTGTGTGTGTGTGAGATTAAATGAATATTAATATTGTTCTTTATTTATATATGGTAGACTGGTGCTACCGGTTAAAATTCTGTTTGATTGTGATGCCATATATCATTATCAATGAATTATACATATGTATGTGATTATTCAGCTTTCCAAATAACTGGTAACCTTCAGAAGTTCAGACTAAAAGCCAATATTTAGTGTATAATTTATGAGACAAATATTATCATAAGATAATTTTGATATTTTTTTGCATATTTTAACTTTACCAAAACATATGTAAAACATGTGTGTATAAATATTGATATATACATACGCATATATATGTATTATTTTATTCAAGCCTAAGTTAATTTTAAGTTTTTTGAGAATATATTTATAAAATCTTCATAATGCTAAATATTTTAACAAGACATATATTTAAATATGAAAATGGCAAATTAAATATAGAATTCATAATTTTATAAATATAATACATAGAATAATTTTTATTTATAAGAAGTTAGAGATATTACACTAAAAAAATGTTCTTTTAAATGTAAAATCAATTTCCTTGACAAGAAATGTTCTGCAAATTCTTGAAACCTATAATTTTGATACTGAAAAATTTAATTCTCAGACAAGATGAAAGAGAGTTTTTTTGTTTGATTATTTTGTTTTTAGACATCCCCTCAGTGCAGTTATAAGTCAAGTCCTCCTATGATTACGAAACCGAATAATGCCATGGGAGCTGAAATGGAAGATGGTGGTCAACCTATATCACCTGCAGCTCAACCGCAACCTGTTCTAAAACAGGAGGTGGATCATCATTTGTCCAACTTTCATGACAATATGCCCCTCTTTGTAAGTAATTCTCTATGTTTCACGCATTTATTGTTCTACTGTATTTTATCAGTTTTTTTTTATGTATCTTGCACCCACATAATAGCACACATATATGTGTTTGTAGTTATTTAACTTTCACGTGAATACACACTTTTAACACAGCAGTATGCTAGACATGCAAGTGAATATTAATTTTATTTGCATTGTGTTTTAGATCGCATGATTTATGTTACATATGTATGATATTGTATAAATCTATTGCACATGTGTATTATTTTTATTTTTATTAGAAAGAGAGAGAGAGAGAGAGAGAGAGAGAGAAAAGAAAATGATTATATGATAAATATTCTTAATTGAGATTTGTATTGATACAATTGAGAAGGAAGTAGAATTCTTATCGATATATTTATCGTGATAACGGGAACGATAAAAAAAGATAAGAATGGAGAGAGTGTTTATGATTCTACTTCCTTATCTAAAATTTATATTTTGTATAAACAAAAAGCCGTTTTAAGTTTTGTTATTTTGCATTTTATCACATTTTACTCACAAACATTTATAATTTATCAAACATATATTTAAAATAAATTTATATGAAAACTAACAGAACACAATGTAAATACACTGTGATGTAATACACATGTGAGATGCTTGAACATTACGTGGTGTAAGATGTTTGTGTAACAGTAGTTTGATATGTTATATATATACATAGAGATATAGTAAACTCTGTCAATAATTTCTGATGTATTTCGTCAACAAACGTCAGAAAGTATTAGTGCAGGCAATAGGTTATTGCAGCATGCACAATTTTGAAACTCCCCTCTTCTTAAAATATTTTTTACTTCACACTTGCATGTTCTCCGAAGACGCTGCGTTTACCTCTTCTCGCTTAGAACCGCTTTTGTGAATGAGGTGCGAATGAAGTGACGTATCATAATATTTCCAATAACGAAGTTTCGTTACTGCTCCCACTACCGACGACGATTACTCATACTCATCGTCTTACAAACTACTCCGACAAAAAAAAAACAGAAACACGGGAAGGAAGGGATTCTCTAATTAAAAGATCACGGAACTGATTTTTCGTGCGCTAAAAGAAAAAGAGAAGAAAAAAGCAAAAAAAAAAACGAAAAAAAAAAAGACCGGTCGAAATATGTTGATATCCTTTCCTTCTCTGTTGACAGACTAATACGGAGTGGGAGGTTCAGAGAGGTGGGAAGAGTGTCGAAACTATGGATGTACAGAACATGACTTCCAATCATCCAGATTCGGCTGTGGTGCAAGTTTGTCGCGAAAGTGCCGTCACGGCCGGAGACCTGACTTCTCTACGCGTTGATATATCGGAGACTGCGTCCGAATTCTGTGCGAATTTGCATAATCCGCTAAATCAATTCGCATCCGTGAACTCGCGCCGTTCGTGTAAAAATAACAATATCGAGGCAATTCAATTTTACGAGACCGAGTGCGATCCGAATGTTAAAGTAGCCGAGAACATGGACGTACATGGGTCGCTGCGAATTAATCAGGAGTCGGGGATATCCGTAATTCAGTCGACCGTGTGCGCGGCGAACTTGCAACGTCTTACTCCGCAGAGCAGAAAAGCCGGTAGATTCAGACTCGGGTGGCTAGACATGTATTCCTGGCTGCAGTACGACGAACGATCGAATCTTATGTTTTGCAAATACTGTAGAAAGTGGAGCGAATCCATACCAGAAATTCGCACTTCGTTCGCGGCGGGAAATGGCAATTTTAGACTCGAGATTGTGAACCACCACGCTAAGTGCAAAGCACACAATCTGTGTGTGGCTAAGGAACGTGAGGCGAAAAAGAGTTACCCCACGAAAACGTCTTAGCTATTTTTCACGGCAATCGAGTTCTTTCTCTCACATTCTTTTTTTTTTTTTTTTTTACATCGTACACGTTTATTCTGTGTGTGTGAATCTATGTGTGATCTATTTTGCGTTTAAACAAATTAAAAAAACAACGGTTTTGCGTTTTCTCTCTCTTGATAAATTAATTTGTAATATTTACCAAATATTATATTTTTATTGTATATCTACTTGCACGAAGCACGTATGATTTTATTGGATTTTATTCTTATCTGTTATTATCTCATTATGTTCGTTATAAATGGTGGCTCAACAGATGTTAGAATTGTTATGTCTATCTGTTTGATCGCATTTTATTGCTGATACTGCGAATTGTATTCGAGATCCGTGTTTCTTATTACATAATTTTATTCAAGTTACTGTTGCACGACAAATATATAAAAGAAATATAATGTACATTATGTATATAAAATAAATATACAATGTATATATGTAATGTACGTTATTTGTTGTTGAAGAAATAATATGATCGTGTTGGTATGTTAATATTTTATTCGCGCGATCGCATGCGCACATGTGTAGTTTACAAAGATGTCTCGGTTTGCTGTGTGGGTACGTGTTCATCTATACGTACACACACACATACTTGTGTACATAAATGCATATAATGCATTGATTGTGTAAAATACATAAAAATATCGACTACCGTTTTTATATTCGGAAACGCACATAGTGTGTACGGAATTTTAATACGGACAACGAAGTATAAAAATTTGTTAAATTATGTTTGCAATAGTAGAAGGTAACAGACACAGGATATTTTTGAAATAAGAACCTGACAAGAGTGATTTGCATTTCTTAAAAAGCTGTTTACGTTGTAACTACACAATGCGTTTTTACATATTTGTTGTTATGTTTGAACGAAGATTTTGTGTAAAATATGAAAAAAAGTAAAGGTATATATAATATATACATATGTATATACGGATATAAATATTTTTTGTGTGATAGATCTTTACTTTGGTTTTATGAAAAAGAAATAAATATTATTTAAAAAACAAATTTTTTAAAATCAAAAATCACTAAATGTCCGATCTCTCATCCAAATTAACCTAAAGCTGGTATTATTCTAATATAAAAAAAGTTTAGTAAAAGTAGTTTTTGATTAAGGATAAAAATAGTGAGACATTGATTTTTTTGTTAAAATAATAATCTTGAATGAAACTATTTAAAACTATTTATGAATTAGTATTCCAAGTTTCTTACATTTCTTACACACGTTTCTTTTAAGTTTTTATTTGAGTTACATAATATTTTACGATGTATGTTCGTGTTATTGTTCGATTACTCGAGAATTTGTTCAAGATTTTATTGGTTGACAAATGTCTTCCGAGTTTAATACGAGACTTAGAAGAGTCGCGCAGATAAGAAGAAAAAAGTTCACAGTGAGAAATAGATTACATATTGCGAGACGCAAATAATTTTCATCTTACAAAAAATCGATTTCTGATTAAATAAAATGTGTGTGTGTGTCAATGGTACATTTATAGATCAATAGTACATCTATAGTCGGCGTGGTTACTTTTATGTGTAACCTTATCGTGTGCAGGCTCATCCTGTCGGACAGATGGGCGAAGAGGGAGGGGCGACGGCTGGAGCTCTTGCTGACGGTATTCAGGCTATGGAATCATCGGACTCTCACCACCCGGAACTACTCGACGGACATGATGGTAAGAGTTGCACACACATATATCAAAAGAAAAACAAAATACAGAGTTTTCCGACCAAAATTTCGTTTAGATTTAACATATTTCTCCTTCGCGCGCGTTTTCGACGCAAAAACCGACTTCGCGATAGATGCGAAGATAATTATCCGGTATTATCTCGTGCATAAAATGATGCGTAATTGAATTTTCCAAAACCACGATATTATTCATGGGATTCAGCAAAGTGTCATCATGCCGTAAAATATCGCGTTTAATTCTCGCAACAAGCTCGTTGGTCTGGTGATGAACGATCGTTATCCGAATGGGACGAGGTGGGAAGGGAGGGAAGAAGAACGGTCCGTTTGTGACACTCGAAACGTGTGGGAAATATGTTACATCTAAGAAATCGAGGGAGATCTTGTGCATGCACATTTGCAATGGATTTTTGAGACACGAGTCGAGTCGTACGTATAGGTGTCGTACGAAAAACAAACATCCCTCTATTTCCAAATCTGGCAAATTTGTGTAGTTTGAGTGTAAATTTGTTTTTTTTTTTTCTAGAAAAGTTTTATCAAACACTTTCTGTACATATATTTATACACATATATGTACATGTATATATGTATATGCGTATATATGCATACATACTGACACGCTCTATATGTGCGTATGTACATATATATATATATACATATACATATATAATTAATTAATGTATATTACATGAACCCTTGGTGTTGTGGTGATGGTATCGTGCATTTGCTATCGTCATTGTGGTAGTTTTTATAATTCACACGTGTTGTGATATTTATATATATGTATATGTGTGTACATATACACATATATATTTATACAGAAAACACATATAACAAAAACTCTCGTTGGTTTGGGACATGGTTGTATATCAGCAAATGGACTGTACTCCTAATCCTCGTTTTTGTTTTTTTTTTTCCTTTTTTTCCTTGTGTCTCCGAGATTGCGATGGTGTGTGGGTTGTGCGTGCGAACTGGCTGAGTTCATCTCGCTGTTTCTCTCACACATGCGCGTGCGCATCCGCGTGCAACACATTTTAACGAACTCCATTTGAGCGAATGCGTGCAAATGTATGTCCCGTGTGTGCGAGATGACGTGTACATACGTGTGTGCCGTATATGTATACATATGTATGTATATTCCATATATATGTGTATATGTATATGTATATATATTGTTGCGCCCGCGCGCTTGTATATAACTACGAGATCAATACGAAACCCTATAAAGGTAGTAGTTTTAAACAAGAGCGCAATATATCGCGGCAATATATATTGCAGCCCCGGGCGCAACAATATTAAATGTAGTCATACACACGGCATATATGCGTACCGATTGCGTGTCCCGTTTCCCGGGCGCAAGACATACGCACATGTGCAATTTCTATGGCGGGACTCTGTGCATGTTTTTTTTTACGCTGGTTTTTTTCTAGTCTCTTTTTTATACATACGTATATATATATATATATATATATATACATATATATATATATATATATATACACCTTTTGCCGTATCACCGTGCCTAAGCGATCTTGATCTTATATTCTCACGTCTCTCTTTGCGCTCTCTATTATGTTCGTTTCGGAATATATATCTTATACAAGTGAACGAGAATAGTAGCAACAAAATGTGCAGTGTTGTTGCGCATCGCGCGTTGCGCAATCCTGTCGGCGGTTGCGTTTAATATAAAGTTGCTGCGGCTGCGGGAAAAATCGCGCGTTACGTAAGATATTTTCCGTACGTAATACACATGTACGCCGTCTGATAATTGTGCGGTATCGAGAGATGAAACTTGACGACGCGCGCGCGTGCGGCTTTTGTTCTTCTACTTGTAACTTCCCCGATTGAACATAACGACTGATTAATATTTCAAAATTTATGCGCGCGGTTTAAATTATTGTTTGTTTTTTTTTAAAAAAGATGAACTGCAAACGATGTTTGGAAGAGCAAAGATATCACGACGTAAAAAAAACGAGTAAGATCCGTCGTGTGAGCATTTAACTGTTTGGTACACGAAGTAATTCAATGTTGCTCTTCGAAAATGTAGACTCGATGAGAGCAGAAGGTCACAGTCTACTGATTTTTATTGTCAATCTAAGGCGCGTTGCAACAGAAATATTTTCAACGTGAATATTTTTTTATCTCGTTCGACACGTCCGAAATATAAGAATAATCGGTTGGCTCGGGACACGCGGCCGAAACGTTCCTGATATTTTGTTTATGTAAGTTCGATCTTATTTACACATCTTTATCTTACACTTTGCCTACTGAATATTTATTTCCACAATATATATTGGACCAACGCGGCTGTTCGGCGAGGAAGGACGGATCCAGAGATTTATAACAATCCCACTCTTTATTAACAAATGTTCACCTTGAAACGCACTCGCAGATTTTTTTTTCTGAGAAAAATATTTCACAATATTGGGAGATCGAGAAGATACTTTTATACGTGTGTCAGACGAATTTATGACAAAAAAAAAAAAAAAAAAAAAAAAACATTCCTAACCAAAGTACCTTCCATCGTTTATTCGCATTAATACATGTCACGCTTATTTATAGTCACTTGACTCTCTAAGTCATCGCGCATCATCGATGCATTAATAATAGTAATAATTCGCGATACCAGGAAAACTCTCGCAGCTCTCGTCAGTTTTTTTTCCTTCTAACGACGATCGCCGAGAAAAACTAAGAAAAATATGTGCGCGACTGGGAGCGCGCTCATCAAATCGATTTTGTTGCTAACACTATTCTCTGTTTATTCTCTCCCTGTGTGTTTGATGTTCATCGGCGCGTCGTCGTTATCGACGTTCACTCTATTGACATATTCTCGAATTACATACATTTCATCATACACACCTACATACATACATGCATATGTAATATAATCAACCGAGATGTTACATGAGCCTTGTGCAACACAATCGCGAAATGCACGCGTCCGATTGGTCCGTGACGACGACAAACTTGATCTGTATATGTACGTGTGATTGCGCGGTGATTACGAGTTGGGGACAAAGTTGATAGTCCGCGCGTTCGCGTTTCTTTCGAAGTTCTGCGAGAGCATATTCATCACGTGAGATGTCACGCTACACAGAGACTCAAGTTTTCCTCATTGAGATTCTCTACGTAGGTAGGAGATTGATTTTCTGTCTGGTTTTGTTTTTTTTTGTATGATTTTTTTGTTTTTTAGTTTCAACGTTTCTTTACTTCTTTGTGTCTCTCTCTTTCTCTTTCTCTCTCTCTCCTGTGTACGTATTGTGAAAGTATGTTTACTCTCTCTCTCTCTGTCTCTCACTCTTTCTCTCTCTCTTGGAACGCGATGATATGACGTATAGTAGAATATTGCATTTTTTCTCATGGTATTGACATTTGCTACATGTGGGTAATTTTTGACGCGAGATATAAAGAATATGCGGGGAGACCGAAGGTCTTAAATGGGATCTGACCAATTTTCTCTTGTGTTTCCGCGCGACGAAACGCCGCGAGATATCTTTTATTTATTTGAATATTTATTTTCCGGGTAGTTTTTTTCTTTCTCCCTCAGTATTTATGGAAACATTTTGTTTCGTCGTTACGTTACTGCGTTTGTTTCTCTTGTGTGCGGGAGCGCACGCTGTTTCTTCCTGTATATTCCGAGCGTTTCGTAAACACGAGGGAAAATCAAGCAATTCCGTTTAAGTACACATCACCCTGTATAAATACAAGTGTGTGGTATTTCGTTATGATATATATATATATATATTTATATATTTTCTTGTTGACTTGGAACGTAATTGAGAGATCTTCTCTTCTCTGCAACTATATTTGAAAGTAGAGTATGACCTTTTCGAAAAAAAAGTATGCAGAATGTTTAATTTAACGTTATCATCCAACTTGGTGTTTTTTTTTTTCACCTCCGATCTCGCGTTTAATACGGTTTCGAGAAATTTTATTGTTTTTTTCAACAAGTTCAGTTGGCAATTAATTTAATTTCAAAAACATCCGGGAAACGTGTCTGTGAAATATATAAAAACGCGACTGTCATTGCGATCGAATTTTGTACAAGCTTTTCAAAGTGTACTTTGAACGCTAAATAATTAAAAGAGCCATTAATAGCCGAGGCTTAATTGATGGTCGTTCGCGTTTTAATGTTTACGTGTAATTCTGAGACGATCAACGCGACGAAAGCGCGTCTACAATTTATTAACGTGGTTATTTTTTCGTCAATTGTCAGTCGTTTTGTATTATAAAGGGAATTTATTAAAAGAATATTCTTAATGAAGATAGGTTGAAACGAGAAAAGAAAACAATAGGATAACGAAAAGAAAAAAGTGATAACGTTAAATCGACCATTCTTTGAAGTATCTTGGGATGACAATAGACAGAGTTGGCACATTAGTTAGAGACCATGATGGTAAAAATTTTACTGAAAACGGGACGATTGTATTCCAGGCACGACAAGGACTTTGAAAAACGAGAAGAGTTTTAATAAAGACGATCACGCTAAATTCGAACACTCGCAGATACTCGGCGCGGAATGCTGCAAGGTCTGCGGCAAGAGCGTGTCGAACCTTAAAAAACACATGAAATCGCACAACCCTGACAAACACACGTGTCACATTTGTCTGATAACGTTGACCAGGTCTGACAATTTGAAAAGGCACATTAAGCTAAAGCACAGTGTGCAAGAAAGCTCGTACAGTAACAGCAATATACAATTGAAGCACTTTTTAGCCAAATCGGACTCGAGATCATTTCACTTGACCTAATAGTAATTTAATGTCAACAACGATATGCGCAATATCTGTGTGTCCGTGCGTTCGTGTGCAAAAATCGTAATTAATTGCCAATTTCTAAATTAATTATTAATCTGACGTCGTATGCATTTTCAAGCGTATATCACATGCATAATACATATACCGCAGGTATAATTTATTATTTATTCCTATAATCGTATAAGATCGTAGATTCGCGATGCGAAATTGCGTTCTCGTAAGGCGAGAGCCG